TAATACTTAAGTCAGCGATATGATAGCAAAAACTGGCCGATTTTCTCAGCAAAACAAGATGGTATTTTGAAAAAATTCTCAATATTTTTGTGAAAATTCTTAAAATATTTTGTGAAAATTCTATTAGAAATTAGATAAATATCGGTTTTCGGTATGTCTATCAACCGAAATTTCAGTTTTTTACCAAATTTATAAAAAGTAATAAAACCGAAATTTTGGTAACGGTTCAAATTGAAATTTCGGCCGAAACCGATACTGAAACAGGTTTCGTCGATCACTAGATACAAATGTTTCTAGCAATTATAAACTCAATTATGTAGATTAATTGTAGTAGAGACTGGAAAAGAGTATTAAACTGTTGTATGCTTATATTATCTTTTTTTAATGCATAACTCAAAAAAAAAAAAAAGTCTGAAACAAGCAAGAAATCATAAAAAATTTATATAAATATTTTACAACTTTTCATACTGATTCTAATTATGTTATTTATTCTAATTATTTTATGCTGATTTTAATTATTTTACCCAATCTTTATTATCAGTTTAAGATTTTTTGCTGTTCAACATTTAATAACATAGAAAAAAGTCAATAACCCAGCGACAAAATATACGATGGATAATTAACTTCAATCATGCAGAAAACTATTTGAAGTTACAAAATTATTACCCAAAGTTCAACATACAGACTTTTATCAATAAAAAAACATTTATCAATTATTTCACTCTGTAAATTGTCTTATCATTGATTTTTGTTTAAGAGCAAAACCAAGATTACGATGTTTCAATGACCAGCAATAATCGGACCTTAGCATTAACTCTTCATTGCATAAGAGTCTTAATGGAAACTTTTACCCTGGTCTTCATTGTATGTAGCAATATTTGCAGAAAAGTATTAAATGTGGGAGTACAAAAAAGTACCTTTTGACACTATGTAGAAACCCTAAGCCCGAAATTTGGCTACTATGTTCTAAACAAAATTTTTGTAACTATCTAATTTGAAGTTACCAAAGAAATTGTTGACAAAATCTTTAAAACCTTTTCAGTTCAACTGTAGCAGATTTAAATGCTAACTCCTCATCTTTCATTATTTTTTGGATCTGCCGACAAAGATACATTTGCTTCACTTATATGTTTCATGACCTGCTGCCTTGTGGGATTTGCTTTCTAAGCAAAGGCTGGAAGGCGTTTGTTTGTGTTCTGTTTGAACCTCTGGTGAGGTGTTCATTCACCCATAAGTTACTTTATGTATGTTTGTGCTCTGTCTGAACCTCTGGCACGATGTTTACTTACTTGTAAGTTACTTTATGTACGTTTGTGTTTTGTTTAAAGGTTTTGTTGAAATGTTGAAATCTATTTTGATGCATTGTGTGCTCATTAACTAACTAGTTATTCGAAATTTAAAACCTACGCTCACCTTAATCTCTAGTATTTTGTGATATGTAATGTTTCCTAATGTTTCCTAATGCATTTCCAAAATATCATGCCTAATGTTTGAAGGTACTGTTTGCAGGAAGTAGTTTCTTTTAATTACTCCAGGTCAGTTCAGATTCAGGATCATCTCGATCATCATACTACTAGTATCATGTAACTCAGTAACATCTACTCCACACCCTGCTGCCTTGTATGGTGTGCTTTTTTAGGCAAAGACTAGGAGAAAAAAACTGACTTAAAAATCCTTTGGGGTACTTGGTTAAGTAAAAGATAGAGAAAGTGTCTCGATAAAAATACTCAGGCAGATGTTAACTACTGTCTTGTAAGAGGCCTTCTATGCAAAGACTTTAGGGGTAAGCAGAATAACTCTGCAAACCAGCCTCAAACCCCTTCTATATCTATTAGGCTGGCATAGATGTAAACCTGTATTAAACTGTTTTCTGCCTAGGATGATGAATACAGGATCTCCTTGACTCTACTCATAGGTTTTTGATTGTGCCTTTTTGATAGTGGCTATGCAACTCTTGTTATCTCCTAATGAAGGAACAGCTTAAAACTCAGTTTAATGGTTCTCAGGCCGGCTAGTAGTAAGGTTTCCTAAACTATGTGATAGCCCTTAAAGAGCTGATTCCATCAAAATATCAACATAATTTATGCAAAATATCAACATATTTTATGCAAAATATCAACATATTATATAGAGTATTATCAGTACCATCTTACACATGAATGGTGTCCCTGTTAATGCTTTTAGTGCGCATTGCAGAGGCCTTATAAGAAGCTTAATGTTACGACTTAACAATAATTGATAATTGTCTCAGTCCTGTTAATTAATCTATTGATTAAATTACGGGTTAATTAACAGAACTGAGACAATTACATAGCTACATGCTTAGGAGGATGTGCTCCCTCTATGAATGAGTCAAATTCTCTTTAAATTTAAACCATGCTAAAAGTAACCCAAAGTATTAAACATAAAAAACTGTCGTCACCACTTAACTGTTTTAGTATATCTTTTATAAATATTCGTGGTCTGTGAAGCAACCTCTTACCAGTTGAATCTCACCTCTTGCAAAATTCAATAGACTATCTTGCTCTTTGTGAGACTAATTTAAATTCTGCTATTCCTTCTTTAGATCTCAGTGTTGATGGTACTATCCTTTGATTCACAAAGACTCCAACAGTCACATGCTTGGCTTGGGGGTATACATACACATCAATTCACCTATTTGTTATGAAATCAAATTTAAATCCTTTGACTATTCTTTTATGTGCTTCTTACTCTATCACCTTTTCTATTTGTTCTTTATCGATCTTTTTCTTCCCAAGATGCACTCTTTTAGTTATTTTTTTTCTGATCTAATTGACCACGCCCTCTCTCTTTACCTCTTTGCCAATAATGTTGTTATTGGCAATTTTAATGCTCATCACACTGAATGGTTTGGCTATAACGCCATTGATCCTGCTGGCACTAAAGCCTGTTACTTCTGCATTTCTCAATCTCTTACTCAGATAGTTAACTTTATGACTCGTTTTTCTGACAACCCTAATCATTTACACTCACTCCTTGATTTATGTCTTGTCTCTGACACTAGCTTGTGTTGTCTAACATTCCATCTGTCATTAAAGGGACTGATCTTATTACCTGATAAGAATAAGGCAAAACTATTTCCAAAGAACTTTTCTTCAAATTTAACTCTTATGGCCATTCTCTTCCTTCCATTCCAATTAAACAGCTTAGTCCATTGTTAGACATTCAAATCACTCCAGCTTCCATTACTAAAGTCATATCTCAATTAAAGTCTTCTATGGCTTGTGGTCCAGACAACATTCCTGCCATAGTCTTACAAAAATGCGCTGCAGAACTCTCTTCAATTCTCTCTAAAGTATTTAATAAGTGCTTGAGTCTTATTTTCCTACCTGCTGGAAAATGACATCTGTTATTCCAATTTTCAAAAACTCAGATGAATATTCTGACCATTCCGCTTATTGCCTGATTGGTCTTCTTTCTGTTATTTGCAAGGTCTTAGAATCTTTGATCAACAAACTTTTTACATTCTATCTTAATTCAAATAACTTACTGTAAAACAATCAATACTGTTTTTGATCCTCTAGTTCTTCCTCAGACTTGCTGACAGCTGAGACTGAAAGATTTTATTGTGCATTAGATGGAGGCGAAGAAGTTATGACTATTGCTCTCGACATATCTAAAGTATTTAGCATGCTGGTTCATAAGCTTGTGTCATATGGTGTATCTAAGAAAGTTCGAGATTATCAAACTGTTACTTTATAACTGCTTTATTTATATCATTCTCAAAAGCAAACCCTATTTTTCATTTACAGTAACTTCTTGGGTACCTCAAGGTTCTATCCTTGGTCCTATTTTGTTTCATATCTACATTAATGATCTTCCCAACAACCTTACATGGAAAGTGGTAGTCAGTAAAATGCAAACTGCGAATCAATAAAGTGAGAACATTTTTGCAAACCATAGTTTTATTGGTTGTTAATAATGTAATATTTTTCATTTTCTGTTTGCCATTAAATTGTTTATTTTACTATATATTTTATGGACTTCAAGTAGAGACATAAATTATAATTAATTTGAAAGAAAGACAATCTAATTTAAATAAAATATATCAAATTCTACTATATTTAATTTAAGTTAAAAAATCGATGAACTTACGTTTTTTTAAATATCTTAACTGTAGTGATCATCAAAATATAATGTTGGTTTTAAATTAAAATATAATGTCTTGGTTCTCAAAATTATTTGCATTTATTTGACATTGTAAATGGTTGTGACTTCTTCTCTTGGTGGCTACACTTTCTTGGCATAATGCTCAGAACCTCCTCTGAGAGGCACAAAAAACATGGAAATTTTGCATACCCTCCTTGGAGTCCTAATAGTATGGCTATGATCTTTAAATCCCCACATTTAAACCCTTTATGCTGTTTGTAATTCAAAAAACTGAGCAACAGTTTTATGTTGCATTGTCTCTTTTAGCGCTACAGAGTGTGACACTGGAAGTGATGATACTTTAGTTCCATTAAATAGAAGAAAGGCTTTCATACTGCGCTTTGATCAAACAATCAACACTCATTAGCATCATAAGCTTTTCTCCACTTATTGGCATCATTAACTATTGTCATAGATGTAAAAAGACAATATTGTTTTTCAATATATTACCTTTAATATTGTTACAATATAACAAGTCTTAGTTACTTACTTAAAAATAATTGTACAAATTCTGTTTTACAATATCTGTACACACTCGAACTAGTTCAAGGCCTTCCTGAGTAAGAAGTTTTGGTGTAATTTTTGAAATTATTGGCCCTGCAAGGTTGCCCAGTTCAATCTTTCTTTAAAATCAACTGTTTTATGATATCATTTCAATGTTTTTATGATGCAGCTATAAAATGTGCAGCAAAAAAATATTTTGTTAACAAATTTATTTTTCTCATCATTGATTAATATTATTGTTAATTATATTAATTTGTATTTCTCATAGCTTTGAATAACTTTTAAAGAGATTTAAAAACAAAAGTTAAAAAAAATTATTTGTGTACCTTTTTATTTGGAATATGTAAAACAACTTTCTTCTTTTTTCTATTATTCATAGTCAACCTATCAAAACTACTCGGTCCATAAACACTAGCACAACGGTTTTCAAATGCATACATCATCTTGCGAACAACTTCATCAAAGAAAACTGTGGATAGATGTGAATGTAGCAAAGACTTGAATTCAAATGATATCTGAAAAATATATAGAAAAACAGTTCACAATTAAAATGCTCTTGGAGTGCTGCACTTCAACAGCATTTTAATTGTTCTTAGGATTGGCAAAAGGTCATAGACTATATGTATATATTGTTGAAGATAAGTTATGGAATTAAAAATAAATAATTTTTTTTTTTTAAAAATGCACAATACTTTCAAAATTTTTTTTGAACCCTTATGTACTATATGAGACAGATGTTTTAATTTTTTTTAAATATCAAGCCATTATAAAAAAAAGAAAACCAAAATAAAAAAAAAAAAAATCTTGTAAAATGCATATTTAATCATCTTTGACTACATAAAAGTAAAACGGTAAAACTTTAAACGCCAAATAAAAAACCTAGTAGAACAATGTTTAACCTGTAAAAAGTAAATTGTTTATGTTTAACTCGATTTCTACTCAACAAACAAAACCATTAAGTTATTCAAGCAGAAATCTTGATCATGTCATTATAACCTAATGATCAATCTAATGCTTGCAAAATTATAACTAATTAAACTAATTTAACTATTTCATTAAGTTATAACTTTGGAAATCCAAAGTATGAAGAAAAAGAATGAAATAATTACATGAAATTTAAGAATGAAAAATTATAAAGCAATCTTTTTTAATAATAAGTAAAAGAATGTGACAGTTTAATAAATAAAAAACTTTTGTTTTTTTTAGTTCTAGTGTTTTATTAAGGGTGGGTAAAGCACACCTTGGTTATACATCTTTACCTACATACTTAAAAATTTTTATTTTTTTAGGCTTTAAAACACACACCTAATAAACTGTTAACTGTATAATGTTTTTGTAAATCACAATATTAACAAAAAGTTAATTTTATATTACTAATGTGAAACAAACATCGAAACAATTTAAAAAAAAAAAGAAACTTACATAAAAATTTAATGTGCAAGAATTTGGAATGTCTGATGGTCCATTTGATATTTTCCAATTACAAATTAAATGATTAAAAAGAACTCCATCCATACATTCCGACTAAAAATAAAAAATTAAAATATATATATTTTGTTTTATAAAAGAATTGGCTTAAATAATTTTGTCAAACATGAAATTAATCAAAATTTCAAGAACTTAAAATCTCAAATTTACTCCCTAAAGCTGAACCAGAACAAAAATCATTAAAATTTACTCCCTATTCTAAAGCTGAACCAGAACAAAAATCATTAAAATTTACTCCCTATTATAAAGCTGAACCAGAACAAAAATCATAGTCTTTTCAAAAAAATTGTCAAAAATTTGTTAATTAGTATTTATTTAGTAAAAAGAGCCAACAAGCCTTTCATTTTCTTATTAAACCAGGAAACCTTAGAGGCATTAAAATATAAAAATGGCCGGTCACTTCATACTGAATCTTTGTAGATGTAATGCATTAAAGGGTGAAATGAAATGCATTAGAAGTGGAGTAGTGCAGTGAAAGATTGATCATTAAAAGAATTCTCAAAAATGAATCTAAACATTTAAAATTTATAAAAAAAAAACAATTATTTTTCAAGATTAGAATTAAAACATAAAACTATAATTTTGTTTTACAAGTTATGACTTTAAACAGGTTTTATGCTGTAGCAGGCTGGTTTTACATCATTAGACCAAAAGCTATTTTACTTCATTAGACCTTCATTAAACTGCAAGTTATAGTGGCTGCACAAAAATCTCTGATGTAACTTTTCTATTTACGCTTGATGTAGATTATTTGAAAATACTTTACTAAAGCGTTAAGTTTGTGACAGTCACAAAGCATAATGTTTGTGTCAAGATTACTAACAACTATGGCTCAATGAATAAAATTCAATCAATTGTGCTTTATATATTGCATACTGTCAATCTTTTAGTAAGTTTTGTTGAGTAACATAAATACAGATAAATTAGAACACAAATAAACATAAATTAGAGCAACATAAAATCAAAACTTGCGTCATAAAAACAGAATGGCTTGTTGTCATTCCTATATTATTTTATATTATCTTTGACCACATTACTGGTTACACAACCAAATCCCTCCTATTTTTCATTTCACAAAAATGTTTCATTTTTGTAAACTATATATATATATACATACATACATACATACATACATACATACATACATACATACATACATACATACATACATACATACATATATATATATATATATATATATATATATATATATATATATATATATATATATATATATTTATATATATATATATATATATATATATATATATATATATATATATATATATATATATATGTATATATATATATATATATATATATATATATATATATATATATATATATATATATATATATATATATATATATATTGCATTTGTACTTAAAATACTTTTGATTAGTATTTTGTAATTTGTAGTAATTGAAAATACCTTTAATTTAAATAAAGCTTAAAACATTTACAACACCGCACACAAATAACTAAACTAACTTTTATGTCATAGTGTCACTCTGCCACTATATATTTTGAATTATTTCTTATTTTATTTATCTACCATGGTTTATCTATCATAGTTTATCTACCTTGGTTACTCTACCTTTATCTACCATGGTTTTTTCTAACTTTATTTACCTACCATTGGTTTATTTACCTTGGTTTCATTAGGGTAATTATCAAATTATTTTGTGGGGATCAATAACTTTAATTTAAAGATGACTGCAGTTTTTACCAGACATTGTAGATGGTACCTTGGTTATTGTTGCTACAACTTTGGATACTTTTCAAGGGATGTGAATTATGGCCATGTGTTTCAACACTTGGCCATAAAATAAAAGATTTTATTCAAGAAAAATTTTGTTAAAAACATTGTGCCAAATTGAACAGTATTTAAAAATCAGAACTTTAATTGACAAGTTTTTTATTCTGCATAAAAAAACTTGTTAAACATAGTTCTAATTTCTGCCATGTCAACTCCTGCTGAGGGTATTCTTTTTAAAGTGGGTTGATAATGTGCTTGTATGTGTGACTAATGAAGTTTAAATGTCTGACTAATAGCTTGTATACATACATAAAGTTTAAATACATAAATAAAGTATATATACAAACATAAAGCTTTTATGTCTGACTAATTGCTTGAAACTTTGATACTTTTTGAGTGTAATTAAGACTTAGAAGCTACAGTTAGTGTAATAATGGCTTGAAGGCAAATAAAGACTTAAAAGCTACAATAAGTTAAATCCTACAGTAAGTGTAAAGATGTAAAGTTAATGCTATTCTATCAAATTATTTTCTTTATAATTTATAACTATTAACAATTATATTTTTGTTTTTCATTCATATTTTTTTCCAAATATACTTTATTTTATGCTTCTTAAAGGTCTGTTGTCTTATTTTGCAGCATATGGTATTAGTCTGATAACACATGGTTCTGACCTTAGCCTTGCTACATTTGTCCTTTTAAAAAAAAATCCTCCAATATTATATTAGAAATATTATAACTAAAGAATGTATGCTACCTTAACTAAATTTGGCTTAACCAATGTCAAAACAGATGTATATTTCTCAGAAACGGGTGGAAATCCAACTTCAATATCTGCTCTTGCATGTGTATCAGTTTTCTCAAAAACTTTAGAAGCACGACACCACGGCACAAAGTACTTATAATCATCAACATTGGCTACAACATCAAACAATTGTTCTTTTGTATACCTAAAGATTAAAATTAGTTATAATTTAAAAAATAATTTTATATTTTGTTTCATTGCTTTTGTAAAAATAATATTGCATTTATTTGTGTTATTTTTATAACAAACAACGAATGGCAAAAAATGATCAACTCAGATCAGATTAGGTTCAGGATCATAATATTATTTCAGGGTGATCATGAGATCACCTTACTAATAATAATATGTAATCCAGTAAAGACTTTCCCATAACCTGCTGTCTTGTAGAATTTACTTTTCTACATAAACGACTAGAGAAGTTAATCCTGACTTAAAATATCACTTTGGTTAAACAAAAAAGTTCTGTTGACCAGCCTCGCACCTCTTCTTCATTTATTGGAATAAGCAAGATGTAAACCTAGGATGATAAATGCTGGCTCTTCTTAAATCTACTTGTGGCTTTTAGCTTTTTCCTTCTTAAAAGTGAATTTGTAACTGTTTCAGCTCATCCTTTATGATTAATTAAGAAAAAAATAAATAATAAATATAAAAAATTCAGTTGCTAACTCTCAGGTTTAGATAAGTAAGCAACTGGGGTTAAAATTTGACTAGGGCCATGGTTGAGTTTAATAAAAAATAGCCGGGGTCAGGGCCATGACCAGTGCTGCATAACTATTCATACATCCTAAAATATATATTTTTTATTCGAAGTTCATATTATATTTTATATATAGAACCATGTATATTTATATATAAATATCATGATGATCATGATGATCATGATGATTAAATATAAACAATAGAGCATTTTTTTCCCTTAACTAAAGCTCATTCATACAATATTCAAAGCACTCTTTTTAAGTTTTCTTACTACTACCACTCTACAAGCTGATACCCTAACCACTTTAATCTTTCCTGACTAACGTTGTCAAATGTTTTTTCTAATCAGTCTAAGATTATAGCTTCTTTTCTTGTCTTGTTAGAGTCATAAAACACATCCATCTGATCATTATCTTCACTTTTAGCAAATACTACACCATATAAATACTATAGTTTATATATATATATATATATGTAAAGATATTATATGCTAGCATTTAAATAAATAGCAAATATATATGTTTATATCCATATTTATCCATATTATGCATAGACAAATGCGCCTCTTACCTAACCTCCTGGATCCCAGCAGGTATAAAAGCTTTTATCTCTTCATGTTGGTTCATATCTTCGTGTCAGTTTTTCTCTTCATGTCGGTTCTTCTGTCAAGTTACATTCAACTGAAGACATTTTTCACCTTCATGCAGTTACTATATGAAACTGTAATCATTTTAAAAACTTTTTTACAAGAACATCACATTTGAGAATAAATTTCTTTTTATTATTGCAAGAGTTCAATGTAAAAAAGCCCTATCTGATACGTTTTGTTATTTTCAGTTTACTAAATTTTGTATTTTATCACAGATGTTAGATTCTAGAGCCTTTTAGAAATTCTATAAAGGTGTTATTACCTAAAACAAAACTAATGTTCCATCTCTAATTCATTCTTATTCCAGATTCTGTTTTTTATAAATCTTTAAACGGCCCTTGTATGATATACTGTTGTCATATCTGGAGCTGATCTGTGAATGATGCCCTATCTCATTTAGACAAGGTGCAAAAATGCATTGTAAACAAAGTTGGACCAGCTCTTGCACCCAACCTTTAACCATTGTCACATCATCGTAATGTTGCTTCTTTTTCTCTTTTCAATAAACACTTTAATGGGTATCATCTACTAAAGTTTATTTTCATGTTACTCATCATTCAATTCAAAGTCTCATCCTTTTACTGTCTGTTCCTAAATGCTCCAAAAACTCTTTTTTATCTAGTTTTTTTCCTCGAACATCAGTTTTTTGGAATTCGCTCCCTTCATTGCGTTTTCCTGATTTAAATAATTTGCAATCTTTTAAGTTGTCTGTTAACTGTTATCTTGCTTCTTAATCTTCATCTTTTCTCTTTCAGCAACTTGTTTGAATATATTTTAAAAAATATTTAATGTTATTATTATTATATTTTATATTATCTTATTATTTTATATTATCTTATTATTTTATATTATCTGGCCTTGAACTATGACTTTTTTTTGCAATTAGAAATACCCTAAAGAAATCTGAGCCAAAATTTTCCTACTACAACTTTTATTTTAGTAATGTCTTTCGGTTTTTCTAAAATGTTTTGCCAAAAACAAATAGAAAATAGCTAATATTGCACTAACATTTTGCTCTCTTAAAAAACTTCTCAATTTGTATTAAATACAAAGCATTCTATTATAACATCCCTGATTTTTAAGAAACCATTAGAACTTTTAGAAACTTACAGAATTTTCTAACATTTTTGATTTGTCTAAAAGTACATACAAAATATAAGTACATATATCATACAAGTATAACAACAAAGTTAGCTTTACTACTAAAGTGCACGCTTGACTTGTCATTTAGCAAAGTTTCATTCTTTGACTGTATCTATCCCTGCATATTCTAAAATTTTTTATTTGTCTAGTTTTTTTCTTAGCACTTCAACCCTTAGGAACTCTCTTCCATCTTAATGTTTTCCTGAATCATACAACCTACAACTTTTCAAGTCTTCTGCCAACCATTTCCTTGCACTTAAACTCTATTCTTTTTTTTTTCATAGTAATTTCTAACTTAATAATGGTTGCTTAAAGCTTTAGAAAGTATCAAAATAACACAATAAACATAAATATTTTTTATGATTACAGTAAAAAATATTTAGCAAAAAAAATTCATAAGTCCTACTTTCAAATATTCTTTTTGCCAAAAAATAACAATGAAAAAAACTATTTTTCGGATAGTTTTCTTAAATATTTATAGTCTAATGCACAATATTCTACAGTTAAATTTATAAATAATATTGTCCAAGCAAGAGATTTAATAGAGGCCTATCAGCAAAAGATTTTTTTTCCTGTTCATCCTAAAAGCCTGTTCATTTTAGAGTTTTAAAGCTTGCGTCAAAAACATTTCATTGTTTATGATTTCATAGGTGACCACGGAACTAAAAACTATGTGCATTTGATTTAGATTCTCGTAAAGAACTATGCTAAAATGAGATGCAGGATGTAACAAAAAGACCACATCCTTGATACTCTCAATATATATTAAACTTTGATATATGATCTCATGATATATTGAACTTTGAACATCGTTATCAAGGATAGTACACAACATGATAGGGGACAACATTCAGAGACTTTGTGAACGTCATTTAATGTGTACTGGCCAATCTAGAAAATTGACTCTTTCTTTATTTTTTAACTTTATGCCTAATATTGTCTATTTAATATGCAATTGTTGTTTCTTCCCATACTGAATGAACAAAAATATGAAATTTTTCTTGCACAAATGACTGCAATAAGCAAAAGCTTTGATAAAATAAAAGTTTTTGCGTATTTTAGTCATCTTTCCAAACTTTAGATGTTAATATGCTTTGAATTATTATTATATGCGATTGAAATATAAAACTTTGAATTCAAGGTCAAAAACTGTGTTACATAGTAATATTTGATCGTTAATTAAAACAAATTATAAACATATAACCGTTTTTGATGTAACGCCTGTTCACAAAAAATCAGGAATGAAAAATTGTTCTTAATTGAATACAAAGTTATTCAATTTTTGACAAAAATTTTAACTAAAATGAGAGACTGGACATCGTTAACTATTTTATAACCGAAAGTGGTCCTAAATCAGCGGCTTTTCGAACTTTAGTTTTGACTGAATCCATTAGGTTGAAAAAGTAGTCTGGATCAAACTCTTTCAACTTTAATCGAATTCTATTCTTAAGGTGGTCAAGATTTTTCGCAGTAAATCCATTTCCATAAACTTTTGCTTTTAAATGTGCCCAAAAATTTTCAATTGGCCTTAACTGCGGTACATTTGGGGGGGTTATCTTTAGCGTCGACAAAGTTAATACCTAAAGTGTTGTAAGTTTCTAATGTGTGTTTTGCATAATGACAAATACATTCTTTAGAATAAGTTTTTGCATCCAGTGCACAGTTTTTTACTGCAAAATAAGGCGATGAATGACCGAAACAACTGATTGCAATCCAAACGAGAACTTTCTTGTCAAACTTTTTTTTGAAGTTGAATTTAATGTTAGGATCAGTTTGAGAACTATCCTTTGTATAGTAGCCAGAGTTTTGTGAACAATTTGCACCATTTACACAGAAATAAGATTTATTGACCATTATGATTTCAAACTCATTTGATGGCTTGAAAAAAGTTTTTGAAAGTTTTAATAAGTTTTTCTTTTGTTTAATTTCTTGCTTTTCTGTTGTTTTTGGTGCATTTTTTCTTTTGGTATACTTCAGTCCATGCATACTTAATAATCTTTTTACATTTGAAACGCTTATATTTTAGTGCCAATTTTCTTTGCGAAATCCCGATTCTCTCTTCTGCTCTTGCAATCATGGACTCTATTCTGGTGTGATTTTAAAAGCTTTTCTGCCGCAACCGATATTTCTTTTCATTGGCAAATTATTTTCAGACCTTTTAATTGTGTCATAAATTGTAGATTTAGCGATTCCCATTTTCTTAAAATGATCCACTGTAAATTTCTTTCCACTGTTTATGTTTTGTTTATAAAAATTTCCAATCACATTTCTAACATCGTTCTCTTTTAGATGATCCATGTTTATTTGAATTAATTATTTAAACTCAATTTTGCCACAAAATGAAACTGTTGTTGTTGACCGATTAAATTTAAAAATTTCGAATCGAAAATTCGAAATTTAGAACAATTTGTGTACATTTGAAATCAGTCCGGATTTTTTGTGAACAGACATTAGTGAATTAGCTGTTCTGTTTAGTTGTCTAGTATGATGTTGTTATGTTTGCACTTATGGGCTAGCACATCAGAGCCAGACGTAAGACCTACAGAATGGATCTGTCTTGTAAAGAACGCATCTATTTTTGTCTTATTTTGGGGTGTTCCGTATGTAAAAATTATATGCATTGATTGGTCTCTAAAATCCTAAAGCTCTAAAAATGATTGGATTCATATCAAATATTTAAAGTTGAATTCCTGTTTAGAACTTACATTTTAGGATGTTATGCTTCTTTTTCATTTTAAGTTCTGTAAACTTATTTTAAAAACATTTTTGTAGCTTTAAGGTTAGGTATCTCTGCTTGCAATTACAATAAGTAACAAAACATTTAGTTTTATAATTATAATGAATATCAAAAACTTTTTTTCAATAAAAATAAATATACTTTACCAATCATGAAAATAATTACCCTAAAACCTTTGTTTCTGAATATTCCTTTGTCCTCGAACCTTCTGAAAAACCAAAAAAATTTCTTTTTTGAATACTTTGTTGTGATTTGACCAGTTTATCACATATCTTCACACGGCAATAACACCTAAAATCAATATAGAATTATATAGACCAAAATGCTTCAGAGTCACTGATTGGGCAGAACCTCATATGTAAACCCACAATAGACAATTTTTTAAAAAACTTAAAAAACTTAGAGTTTTTGTTTTGAGCCTATTTTTGGGCCTATTCCCTTCCCTTAAAATTTTTTTAGCATAACACAAAACAGCATTAATGATGTCTTGTTATCAAGATCAACAACATAAATTGACTGAAGAACTGGGTTGGGGTAGCAATATATGTTTTCATTATTGTTTGCTTTTTCTTCTTTTTCTGAAAATTTAAAACATTTTAAGTATTAAAGTGCACAAAATATACTAGAAAATCATGTCCTTATCTATTAGGCTGGAGCAGATTCTTTTTTTAGTAAGTCAATTACTCTTTAATATTTTAAAAATGCAATGCTATTCATCTTTTATGATTCTGAAATAATTTTAGCAGTATTTTAGGTTCTTTTAATAACACAAAAAAAAAGCGAGTTTTTTTTATTTTAAACTACTTATGTACAATCATTTCTTTATAAAAGAATAAAACAATTTATGGGAAGTTATTTATAATTACTATTATTGCTTTTTATAATGATTCAAAATGGGTCTGAGTTAAAAAATCTCAAAAAAGATTAGCTAAATCTTATTTATTAAAAACACTATTTATGTTAAAAATATCAAAGTATTAACAGTGCCATGTTGGGCATGGATGGTATCCCGGTTTGTACTTTTGGTGTGCATTGCCAAGGCCACATTGGAGCCCTTTGTTACGGCTAAAGGTTTACTAATAGTAATGAGGCAATTGCTTGGCCTATTAAACAGTGTACCAAGTACTACCTATGCTTCGAGTCAAGTTTTTTAACAAATTTATAAATGAATAAAGTAACAAAAACTACAAAACACAAAAAATAATTGCCATGACCGAGTTCTCTAAACCTATCTTTCACTAATATTCGTGGTCTTCAAAGTAACTTTTCTTCTGTTGAGTCTTATCTCTTGCAAAGTTCACCAGACTTACTTGCTCTTTGTGAAACTACTTTGTGTTTAGCTGTCTCATCTTCTGATCTTAGTGTTGATGGTTATCTTACTATAATTCGTAAAGACTCTAATAGTCATATGCTTAGCCTGGGCATTTATATTCGTAAGAATTTACCCATTTGTCAGAAAACTAGGTTCAAATCTACAGACTTCTCTTTTATTTGCTTTCGCTTAGCACTACTTCACTCTATCGCCTTTCTCTTTCTTCTATATCGCTCTAAGTCATCTCAAGACTGCACTCTTCTTGATGTTATTTTTGATCATATTGATCAAGCCCTCTCTCTGTATCCTTCAGCCAATATATTTGTTGTTGGTGACTTTAATACTCATCATACTGAATGGCTTGGCTCTAGTGTGAGACTCTGCAGGCATTAAAGCCCACAACTTTTGCCTTTCTTAATCCCTAACTACGGATTGCAAAAATCCCGGAAATTTTCAATCCTGGGATTTCGGGATTGAGAAATTTGTTCCCGAGATTGAATAGAAAAAATGCTACTAAAAACGCTACAAATACTTTTTAAGTACACATCAAACTCTTAAAAATGATTAGATTAGTGATAATATAAGTAATACATTAATGAACCTAAAATTAAGTTACAAACATGTTTTAACTTAATTTTGTTTTATATAAACTTATTTAAGACTTTTAAAAATTAATGAACCTAAGTACTTTAAATTATAAAACAATACCTTAAAATCGTAACACAGTATAAGTAAAAATAATAACTAGAGAAATATATAAATATGCATGATTTTGTAATTTAATAATAGGTTTATTAAATTTTGTAATTTAATAAACCTGTTTTTTGTTAACTTTATTAATTAAACTGACTTAAAAAAAACTGTCATAAATCACGCACATTTTTGAAATTAAAATTAATAGAAACAAAAATGGTAATAAAAATTAAAATAAATTTAATATAAAGTAATTTTTTCAATCAATTTCTTCAAAGTTATTTATTTGAAAAATTGTTGGGGGGCAAGTGCCCCTGCTGCCCACTTGGTTGCTCCGGGCCTGAGGTATACCTTCTATTAACGCTTTTTTTTAATAAAGTTAGTTTAATAGAAAAAAACTTTATATATATATATATATATATATATATATATATATATATATATATATATATATATATATATATATATATATATATAAAAGAGAGAGAGAGAGAGAGTATAATATTATATTTTATATATTTGATCATACATATTTTGTAGATAAGTAATAATGTTTTGAGTTTTTATTTTTAATAATGTAGAGAGTTTTAAAAGGAAAAGATTTCAAAGAGAATAATCAGTTACACAACCAAACTACTATACCAAAGACGATATACAAACTACTTAACTACAATTATAAGCTTAAAGTATATTAACTTTTACTTTTTTTTGACGATCCCGAAATCCCAGAAATTTTTAGAGACTAATCCCAGGATTTCAGGACAAAAAATTTGTAAAAAAACCCGGGATTGTCATCCCTATCCTTAACTCAAATAGTCAACTCGCTTTCCAGACAACCCGAATCATTTATCTTCTCTACTCAAATTATGTCTTGTTTCTGATCCTAGTCAGTGCTCAGTTTCTGCAATTTCACCCTTAGGTGCCTCTAATCACATTTTGATTTCTCTAAAACTATTATCTCATTCTTCTTTATCATCAGAATCCCCCTATTATCGTACGCCTTACAACTCCCTTAAAGCTGACTGGGATTCTTTCCGTGACTTTCTTCGTGATGGCCCTTGGGTAGAAATCTTTCGTCTTCCTGTTGACAAATGTGCTTCTTACATAACTTCGTGGATTCACGCTGGCATGGAATCCTTTATTCCCTCTCAACAATTCCAGGTCAAGCTTCACTCTTCTCCATGGTTTTCCTCACATTGTGCTGCTGCAATTGCTAATCGAAACCATTACTTCCATATCTATCAGCAAAACGATTCTCCAGAAAATAGATGTCTGTTTATTGCTGCTAGTAACCAATGTAAAAAGGTTTTGTCTGATGCGAAAACCTGCTATGGTTCAGACTTTGTCACCTCACCTAAAGACAATGCTGAATTGTTTGCTAAGAACTATTCATCAATAATATCTCTTGATTCCACTAGTTGCATTCTACCTGATAACCATCAAACAGGTTGATTCTTTGCTTGATATTTATACCACTCCAGCATCTGCATCTAAAGTGATTTCCTGCTAAGACTCTTCTATAACTTGTGGCTCGGAAAACATACCTGTTATAGTCTTGCAGAAGTGATCTCCGGAGCTGTAGTCTATCCTTTTAAAACTATTCAACAAGGAAAGCATCCCTATTTTCAAAAATTCTGGAGAGCGATCTGATTCGTCCAACTACCGTCCCATTAGCCTTCTTACTATCATAAGCAAGGTTTTTGAATCTTTAATTAACAAGCAATTAATCTCTCATCTTGAATCTAATAACTTACTTTCTGATTATCAATATGGATATCTATCTTCTTGTTCTACAGCTGATATGCTAACAGTATTAACCGAAAGGTTTTATTGTGCATTAGATAAAGGTGGAGAGGTTAATATTTATGAATGGTAATGTACTCCATGAGTCATCTACCCTTCATCTTCTAGGATTAACTCTTACATCTAATCTTTCTTGGAAAACATATATCAAATCTATTGCAAAATTAGCATCTGCTAAAGTTGCATCTCTTTATGGAGCTCAACACTTTCTTACTCCGGATTTTATTCTCTATCTCTGTAAATCTCAAATCCTGCCTTGTATGGAATACTGTTGCCATATCTGGGGCGGATCTTCTAAAGATATCCTTTCTCATTTAGACAAGGTGCAAAAAGGCATTGTAAACATAGTTGGACCTGCTCTTGCAGCCAACCTTCAACCATTATAACATCGTTGTAATGTTGCTTCTCTTTCTCTTTTCTACAAATACTATAATGGGCATGCTCTATAGAGCTAGCATCTCTAGCATCAATTAAGTCTCATCCTCTTTCTGTGACTGTTCCTAAGTGCTCCAAAAACTCTTATTCCTCCAGTTTTTTTCCTTGAACATTAGTTCTTTGGAATTCGCTTCCTTTATATTGCTTTCCTGATTCATATAATTTGCAACCTTTTAAGTCATCTGTCAATCTTTATCTTTTCTCTTCCAGTAACTTCCAACTCTAATTAGTGGTTGCTTGCAGCCTTGTTGGAAGCGAAGATGTTTAAAAAAAAAAAAATGTCAAGTTTGCAGGCATTATATGGAATAATAGCATATAATATATCTACAAACTGAGAAATCTTCAAAATTTTATTTAAAATTTTAGATATCTTTTTTGCTATATTATTACTTTTTTGCTATAAATATATAAGCAAAAATGAAAAAATTTGTTACGTTAATGGGAGGTCTTAAACCCTCTAAAACAACACTGATGACAGCGTACTTAACCAGTAAGCTATTAATGAAATGCATTTATCAGAAAAACAAACCTAATTATAAGTCTCTTGTAAGCCGTACATATGCGGAAAAGGTGCGCATGTTAAGTTTTTAGCTGTTAAAGTTTTTTATAGAACAAATTATTTTACTAAAAAATATTGAAGTAATTAAGGAATAGATATATTAATAATCGGTGTGGGATAGATATGTATAGAAATGATAGATTTGGTAAAGACATGTATTTTACAGATCTGGAAAGCTAGGTTATATAAAAAAAAAATGTATAGAAAAGTTTGATTTGGAATAGACTTACAAAGACCCGTATTTGTCGGATCCGATCTCAGCTAGTAAAGAATAATAAGATAATGCATTAGAGAATAGTCTTGTCTCCATATTCGTATGATATTTATTATCGTCCAGGAAAAACAGTGGTCCAGATACATTTACTTTTGTTCAGTGAAAGCAATCAGTTCAAAATTACTATATGGTTTACATGCTTCACTTTGCCATCCTGGAATTACTAGACTATATCATTTTTCTCAGTCAAGAAACCTACCTTATTCAGTGGAAGCTGTAAGACAAATATGCAGAGATTGTGGAATATGCAATGAAATAAAACCGAAGTATTGTCATCCAAAAGCTATGCACTTAAATAAAGCAACTCAGTCTTTTAAATGTATATCCATAGATTTTAACCATTACCTTCTTCAACTCCTGAACAATATGTGTTTATCGCTGTAGATGAATACTCATATTTTTCTTTTGCCTACCCGGTAGAAGATGGCAACTCAGACAAAAATTGTTTAGCTGATCTATTTTTCATATTTGGTATGTTTAGCTATGCTCATTTAGATCTTGGATCATTTTTAATTTCTTCTGAATTAAAACAGTAATTTTTCACAAAAGGTATTGTGACAACTCGACAACCTGTTATAACCAAACTGGACAAGTAAATAAAAATTTGAGCAAAAGTGTTCAAATTTTTATTCACGCGATTGTGTACTTCTAATAATTGTACATCATATTTTACAGCAACCTAAGATTTGGTTAAAATAAATTTCTTAAAATTTTAATAGGAAAATTAGCTGCACTTGAGGGCAAAGAGTTTAACTTGAATTAAAAAAATAATAACCAAGATTTTGTTTTAATTTTTCTTCTAAAGGTCAAGTTATCAAAAGAATATCAACCACGGTTGATATTCTTCCGATAACTTGACCTTTAACAGTTAAAATGGCTCAACTTAGTGAATATTTGAGCTAACAGGAGTTTGAGTTTTTTTAAGAGATTTTAATGAAAATGCATTAGTGAAGCTTCAAGGAGAACTTGAAGGTACCTCAAGTTACCGGAAGTTCAAGTTATCTGGGGTTCAAGATATCGGGACTTCACTGTATCTTTATATATAATATATCAATATATATATAATAAAATTTACAATTTTTAATATTGTGTTATGTTCTCTTTTTTCTTTCTTATATATACTAATATATTTATAGCTCTTTTGAGTCTACATAATATCTGGTTATTCATTACAATAACAGGCCTTATTGAGGCATCTTATTGAGAGCAATCTAATTTGTAAAAAGCAATATGAATTTGATATAAGAAAAGGATGCACAACCGATTTGCTAGAGTATTTTGATTTTACCACACAAGAACTTTCTTGTAAAAGGCTATATATTAAATTAGAGACATGGAATCTAACATAGGTTACTAAATTAGTGCAGAGAATTTCTATATAATCAAGAACAAAGAGTGATAATGGGCCATACATATTGAAATGGAAGAAAGTATTTAGTGTAGTGCCTTTAGGATCTATACTAGGACTTTATTGTTTGTATTATTCATTAATGATTTGGGAAGCAAACTTTCTAAACAGTTTAATTATCTGTTTATGAAATAAAATTGATTTCAAAAATTAAGAGACAATTTCTTAATGAAGTATTTCAAAACAATCTAAACCATTTTGGCAAAGAAGTGACTTGAATTTCAAAATTTTAATAGAAAAATGAAAAATGATATTGGAACAAAAAAAATTTGGACAATTGTATGATGGCTGAATGTATGATAGCTGATATTAATACAGCTACTAGAACAATTTTAGCAAAAACAAACAACAAAACTGTGATAATATCAAATGATATAAAATGAGAACAGCATACTATAATGACCACTGGAAAAGAAAAAAAAACTTATTTTAACAAAACACAGTTTTAAACATCTTAAGGTTCATTAATCTCAAACGTAAATCAATGAAACTACTTTACACATCTATGGTTTATTTTTATTTAGAGTATATTGTTTCAGTCTAGAATCCATACAACAAAAATTATGTAAAACTGATTGCATAATTACAGCTAAGAGCAACAAGGATTAAAAATCCAAGGGGCCTGGAATACAAAGAAAGACTCAAGATAATTAATTTGATAACATTAGATTTTAGGCATCGTTAGAGCAAGATGATTCAATATTTTAAATTTGACAATAACTTTACAAAATAAATTGGTCCCATCATAATAAAAAAGTGATGAGGAAAAATATTTCATTAACTTTTGATAGTATTTTTTTAAACCTTAATTCTTAAACTGTATCCACTAAAAATTAAGTACAATTATCTACATTTATCAGGTACAATCTCCATATGTTACATAAATTATCCCAAACATGAAGAATCAACATTAGACCACCTCCTATAATTTTGATTTCAATATTTTATCTCAAACATTTCTTGTTGTGAAGTTAAGGAGACTTAAATAAAACAATATGACGTTTCAGAACAACATTTCGCTTATATATGAATAAGTATTACTAAATTATACAAGTAACCTAAGCTATATGCAATTTAGACAAAAAAATGTCCTACCTAAAAAGGTTTGTATTCCAGGATAAAAAAAATTTGGAACCATACAACAACATAGGTTTTTGAATTATTCTTTTCGTTGTCATTGCAATTGTCATTTTCATAAAAAATTGTTTTTGAGAAAGGTTAGTCCTTAGGCATACTTCAGTAAACAAAGCTTTATTTATTGTATCTATTTATCCATAAATGACATTTATTATTAAATAAGAAAAACTTATTACTTTGTTTATAACCGGGTCTTTAATGTTCGGTATATTAAGTTAAACAACTTAGTGTACCGGACATAGATATAAACATAATCTGCGGGAAAAAAAATAAACTTAATCTGCGCTAAAATGACTAGAAATATTGTTTTCTTTAACTACAGTTAAAGAAAACAATATTTTTAAATTATTTTTTTAATAATTTAAATTTTTTAATTATGTTAATAACAAACTAAATAAATCTAAAAGTAGTTTTCCTCTTAAAGATAAAAACAATAATAATAAGATGACTTGTTCCAGCAAATATGCTATAGCGGGTTTTAAGTGTACCTATATAAAATTTTGAGCGGACCGCGATAGTTTTGCACATCGATTACCAAGTGGACCATTAGTGGTAGCCTCTAAAAGTGGCTAACCAATGACTAGCGACTATTAAAAAGACGAATATTATCGGCTTGTCATTTATAGCGGCTGCCACTAATGGTCCACTAAGTAATCGACAAGCAAAACTGCAATAAATCGCTCAAAAATGCCTATAGAGGTCTAATGGGAATCCATTAAAACAATATTTGTTGGGTTTGGTACCCAGCAAACATTCTATAGTGGAATTTTAATGGACCTATGTAAGCGTTTTGAGCGATCCGCTGTCGTTTTACTCATCGGTGATTTAGTGGTCTAATAATAGCAGTCGCCAAAGGTGGCTTGCCGATAACTTGCCACTCGAAAAATTATCAGTTTGCTATTTATAGTGGCTGCCAGGTAACTGATAAGCAAAACTCCAATGAACCGCTAATAAATATCGCGACTCCCATTGCATATGCATTGCATTTTTCAGATTCACACTAATTCACATAGATTTTTTGTTTTTTTTAACGTATTTTTCAAACTACTTTGAAATATGCGCTTAGGCTGTTTCCCTGTCTAATTTTATTTCATTTTTTATTACTAAATTTATAATGTTTTCCAACCCAAAAGAGGCTGTCTTTATTATATATCTATTTATTAATATTTAAAAGTATTTATATATGAGTTATTTCCTTATTTATATTTTTTTAATAGTTTATCAAATTTTTTTTTTTTTTTTTTTTTTTTTTTTTTTTTAGTTTACAATGTTAGTCGTGATACAAAATAATATAAGTCGTGATATATAATAATATAAGTCTGATACATATATAATAATATAAGTCGTGATATATAATAATATAAGTCTGATACATAAAAATATTTAAGACTTCTACAAGAAAAGAAAAAAAAATGAGTATATATATATATATATATATGTATATATAATTCAGCGTACTAACAATATAAGACTAGGTTTCCGAAAGAAGATCAGAAGGATCTTATCACCGGAACCTTAAAAAAGACATAATGCAAAGATTTAACATAATGCAAATATGCAATATACTAATACAATATAACATAATGCAAATATACAATATACTAACATTTTAATACTCAATATGCTGAAGATTTGAAAAATACATTTTACATAAATTTTTAGTAGAATTTTAGAATGTTATCCATACAGAGAATGAAGTTTTTTAATTTAGTTTTAAAAACAGGAAGAGTAGTAGAAGGGTCAAAATTTGGTAATACTATTTTATTCCAAAGATGGGGTGCACGATATGCAATACAGAATTGGTTGAACTTCGTTTTACAAAATGGTTCATTTAGAAAACTATTACTTCTTAATGTGTATTTATTTATTGGTTTTAAAGAAAAAAGGTCATTGAAAACAAATAAAGATAAATCGTTTTTCCACATAAAAGTAAAACATAAAACATTAAATATGTTAAGTTTATAAACATCTAGTACATTCATATAATCAAAAAAATATTTCGAACGTGAAAAGCGATCCGCATAATTAACTACACGGATTGCATGTTTCTGACGGCGATAAAGATGTTGTAATTTACTTTTCTCCGTACTTCCCCAGGCTATGATTGCATAATTTATATAATTATGTATAAATGAATAATAGAGCTGGGTTAAGTTTTTTTTGTTTAGATAATTTCGAGCTTTGTATAAAATGCCAATATTTTTAGAAACTTTGGTGCTTATATGATCAATATGCTTTCTCCAAGTAATATTTTCATCAAGATAAACACCTAAGAATTTTATAACAGTATCTCTTTTTATTATAGTTTCATCAATGTAAATTTGAGGCATATTATTTGTTAAAAATCGTTTTTTTGCGCAGGAGTGAAAAATAATCCATTTTGTTTTGTTAATATTTAAAGTTAATTTATTAGCTTTGAACCAGTTCGAAATGTGTTTGAGTTCTTTGTTTGTAGTTGAAAAGAGTTCATAAATATCAGTATGGGATAAGAAAAGATTAGTATCATCAGCGAACATTATGCTTTTCAATTTGGAAGCTTTGTTTAAATCGTTTACATAGATTAAAAATAGTAGTGGTCCGAGAATAGAGCCTTGTGGAACACCACAAGTTATGCTCAGGGGTTCACTTTGATAACCATCATTACTATACACAAGTTGCTTTCGATTTGTTAAATAGCTTTCAAACCATTTTAAAATTTTATTGTTTAAACCATAATATTTAATTTTTTGGATTAAGATGTGGTGATCGACCGTATCAAAAGCTTTTGATAGGTCAATAAAGACACCTAGTGTGTATTGAGATTTTTCAAAAGATTTAGAGATGTTATGTATAAATTGAATGATGGCATGTTCAGTTGAGCTCCCTTTTCTGAAACCATACTGATTGTTATATAATAAATTGTTGTAATTAAAATAATTGTATACTCTATTGAAAATAATTCTTTCTAAAATTTTAGAAAATATAGAAAGAACAGAGATAGGGCGATAATTATTGATATTGGATCTGTCGCCTTCTTTATGGAGAGGGGTAACTCTGGCAAGTTTTAAACGTTCAGGAAAAATACCTTGATGAATAGATGCTCTGAAAATTTTGAAAAGAATATTTTTTAATTGTTCATAGCAATCTATAACAATATTCCCGTTTATTTCATCTGCACCAGGTGCTTTATTCTTTTTTAAAGATTTAAAAGCTTTCTCAAACTCATCAAATGATAGTTCAGCAGATAATTCTTCAGAGGAAATATTTTTATCAAAAGGTAACAAAAAATCATAAAATGAGGTCTGAGTTTTTTGTATTTTACTTGATAAGATTGATCCAATTTCAGTAAAATATTTATTGAATTCATGAGCTATTATTTGTGGCTCATGCAAGCTATTGTTATCGACTTTAAGCATTTGTGGCAAAGAGCTTGAGCATGTTTTTTGTTTTCCTGTAATTTCTTTTAATATTTGCCAAGTGCGTTTTGAGTCATTTTTAGCTTTATTAATTAATTTTGAATAGTAATTTTTTTTTAATTTTTTTCGGATTTTTTCGAATAGATTTTTGTAATCTTTGTAAATTTTTTCGCTATCTGGTGTTTTTGTTTTTAGATATTTTATGTATAGCCTTTGTTTAGTTTTGGATGATTTTTTGAACCCCTTGGTAATCCAGGGATTATCAAAGTGTTTTGTTTTTAATGTAATTGTAACAATTGGAAAATTAGACTCGTAAACAGAGATAAAAGTTTCATAGAATTTTTCATAAAGGTTGTTTGCATTTTCATTAAAATTTAAGTGTTTCCAATGTAATAATGAGAGCTGATTTTTAAAGGCCTCAATGTTTGATGATGTATAAAAACGTTTTTTTACAATTACAAAATTTTAGTTTTCTTATTTGCAACCTTTTCTTCTGTTAGTACCTTCCTACCAAGATAATTTGCACTAAGATACTAACTCTGTTAGTACCTTATTACCAAGATAATTTGCAACCTTTTCGTTAGTACCTTCACAGAAAGGCAAGAAGTATCAGAGAATGGACCCTTAGTCAATTTTGACTTTATTTTGTAGAGAAATTGATGTAGGGATTTTTTTTCATATATATATTTTTTTAATTAAATATTATTTGATTTATAATCAATAAAAATAACTTTTTTGGGTTTTCTATTTTTCTGCATTTGGTATCTGTTTTGCTTTCGAGCTTATCTATTTGTTTAATGTAAATACTCCTTATGACTTAAATTGTGTGTTTTGATTTTAGCAGAGGAATCATAGTCAACTTAAGTATAACATAAAATTTAACAATAATCAGTATTTTTAACACTTTCGCGTTTATTTTTGTTATACTGTCTATTAATAAAAGTCTAGAAGTTTTAACTCCGCTTTTACATTTTTAAATAAGAGTTGCTAATATGTCGCAAAATAAAAAATTAACGTCTAGAAAAAACACAGATTGGTGTATAAATTATATATGTGGCATTTTGCGCAAAACTAATTTTGTGGTTTTGTTACAACAGTTTTGTTGTGCCAAAAGAGCGTAAAAGATAGTTATAAGCAAAACTGAGTATAGATTGTAGAGCCACATGGTGTAGGTTAATGTTGTACTCTACGCAACAAGTAACGTACGACTCAACACTGTTTTTTATGCGTGTAAAACGCATAAATGAAAAACAAAACTATTTTCTTATAGTTTCTTCACGTTAAAAGGAATACATTTTTTGATTTTTATGGTTATTTTTATTGCATAAAGAAAACTAAATTTGTAGTCTTTAACTTTTTTGTATTTTCCATAATTTGTTTTGATGTCCAAGGTTTCCATAATTTGTTTTGATGTCCAAGGTTTAAACAAGTCAGAGTTGACAAATACAATGTTGAATGTTTTGGGACTGAGAAAGCAAGCCTGTAGAAACCTCTGTGAACGTCAAATCACTAAACAATCACCAAAATCCTCAACAAAAGAAAGAAATTTAGTAAGTCATTTTGGAAGCGTTGGGATGCAAAATATAAAAGTACATCACAAAAACGAGAACTGATTCTATAAATCGTGCCTTTAACTGCACATAATAAAATACGTGTAACCATCTTAACAAGTTAGCTAAAGAACTTGTAAAAAGTAATATTTTCATTGATGCATGTTTATTAGAAACAGGTATACGGCAGGGAAAAATTAATACTAATAAACTTTGCAATCATGATGAAACCATTCAGTTTGTAAAGTATGGAGTTAATGGTACCTC